TCCATAGCACCTGTGGACAGGACAAGAAGTCATGGGTGGATGCTGATCAGAAGGAGATCGCGCCTGGAAATAAGGAGGAATTGAAAATGAAAACAATTTATCAGTGGAACAGGTTGCCTCCCAAAGCTGTGGGTGCTCCATCACTGGAGGTTTTCAAAAATAGACTGAACAACCATTTGACCTGGATGGTAGAAGTTCTCCTGCCTTGATTAGGGGGTTGAACTAGAAGACCTCCAAGGTCCCTTCCAGCCCTATGCTTTTATATTATACGTTCTATTATTAATACGTATAGTAACTTAATAAAGTTTCCTGGAATATGAATGAAGATGGGAGAGAGGGAAAGAAGTCCTAGATGGCATTCCCCACCTAGTTAGGTCAGTCTTAACAAAAGGTATCACAGTCTCCCTCGGGTTCTGGAAATGGTAGATACCGCTCTAATGAATTGCTGTTGAAAGAATTCAATACTGAAGAAATGCTGGACGAGCTTTTGGCTTGTTCCGCTGGGTAACCAGTGCATTCTCAGGCTCGTGCTTTCGGCTTTGTGCCAGTGCAAACAGTGTGTGATCGGAGCTGCCGAAAGCATCAGCCTGAGGATGGCGAGTGGGACCTCATGAAATGTCGCCAAGATACTCTTAATCTTACATGGGAAAAGACCTGAACACACCTAGACCTATCTCTCTCTCTCTCTCTCTCTCTCTCTCTCTCTATCTATCTATCTATCTATCTATCTATCTATCTATGCAGGTTTTGGCGTGTTTGGGTCTTTTCCCATGTAAGATTGAGAGTATCTTGTCGATGTTTCGGCAAGGTCCCACTCGCCATCCTCAGGCTGGTGCTTTCGGCTTCGTGTTTGTGCAAGCAAAGCATGATCGGAGCTGCCATCTCTCTGTAAATACTGGTGGGGAGGTGTGGTGTGCTGGCTCTGTTGTAAGTGGGCTAGTTGGCTGTGATGTTATTTCTTGATTGGTTGATGCAGCTGATGTTTGCAGATTGGTTGGCTTTTTCATAAGAACCTGTTTGGCTGAGGTACTGGCTGTGTGTCTATCAGCCTCCTGTGTTGTAATGACCTGGGTAATGGGCTGTGTGATGACCTTCTGAGTTCTATTGTTGTGACATCCTGGGTCTTTTGCTGTAATCTCCTGGGTCGTTGGCTGTGTTGCAACATCCTGAGGTTTTGTGGGGTAACCTTCTGAGTTCCGTGATGTGATATCCAATCACGCTTTGCTCGCACAAACACGAAGCTGAAAGCACCAGCCTGAAGATGGCGAGTGGGACCTCGTTGAAGCGTTGCCAAGATACTCTCAATCTTACACGGGAAAAGACCCGAAAACGCCAAAACCTACATACCTGTACCTGTGAAAATCTACATACACACACACAAACACGTTTCCTTTTGGGGGGGGGGGGGGTTAAAGCCATAAGAAATGCTTTGGGGTGGAGGCGGGGATAGCGCCGTAATATATAAAAATACTGTATTGTGGTGCTGTCTTGATGGCAAGGGATTGCTGGTATTAATTTGGGGAAAATGCATGGATGCATTCCTCACCTTTCTAAAAGCTGCTCCAGCCTCTTATATAATGTTATCCAAATGTTTGTCCTCTTCTTATTCGCTCCACCTTTTTGCTATTAATTCAGGAAAGCAAAGTTTGAGTGTCTGCAGCGAAAGGTGCTCTCATTGTTCTTGTTTCAACATTAATTATCCTGGCTTTTGCTGCTAATCATCCTCTGAAGGGTCCTTCCCACTCCCACCGCCCTCCAAAAAGAGGAAATGAGAGTGTCAGTGAGGCAGAAGATGAGAAGAACCATTTCTACTAATAGTGAACTCAGATGCTCCTGTGCCAACAGGATTGGTGTCGTCTTGGCATCACTGAAAAACAAGAAGGAGTGTTCAACACTTTTGCATGGATGTACCCCCAAAATAAAAGGAAGGCAGCTCCCTCCAGAGGTGGTATTCAGCAGGTTCTGACCAGTTCTGGAGAACTGATAGTAGAATTTTTGAGCAGTTCGGAGAACCAGCAAATACCACCTTTGATTGGAGGTTTTACAGTATCCTTCCCCTGCCATGCCCACCAAGCCACTCCCACAGAATTGGTAGTAAAAAAAATTGAATCCCACCACTAGCTCCCTCCTACCCAAAAATACACATTGATTCTCATTCTTTCCCTTTCTCAATGTTATGTTTTGAGATCTCTGAGTTCCTGGGGTGGAATGTAGTCTGGATTCCCAGGAGGGAATGGCTGCTTCCCACAGGGTAGAGAGGCAACAAAGCTTGGACAGTTTGATCAGCAGGAAGAGGGTTCAAATGGCTCCTCCCAGTTTACAGTTATGCACATTGTTGCTTTACAAGGGGTCCTTGGTCCTCTCTGAGCTTGGTTATTTTTCTTGCAGACACTTCATTACCCAAGCTAGATAATATCATCAGTGCTCCTAAAGCATAGTCTGCTTTAATCTGGCAAGAATCTGCCTATAGGTAAAGAACTACTCAGAAGTGACTCCACATGTCATTCTTGGTTCTTGGGGCCTTCATAAAAAAAACACAATAGTAAATTTGAGTGTGGGGAAATGTGAGCTCATTTATTTGAGGAAACAAAAGCTTAAAGCATGATCTGGGAACTACTCATGATGGGCCCAATTCAACCTGCCCAGCCATCCGATTAGTCTTCTGAGGCTTCTTTTTCAAGCCTTGGCTTTCTTCAGTGAAAAAGTAAGGAGCTGCCTTGAACAAAGCTCTCAACATTTCCCCCTCACCTGGTTTTCCCATCCAAACCAGAAAGGATCAAGGGAAATTGGATCATTGGAAGGCCATAGTCAGGGGTCTGATTGCAACAGTTCCCATACATTTGCAAAATAAATTATTGCATGCAACCAGGGGGTGGGGAAATCAGGTGGGTGTCAAAGGAATTTTAGGCAGTCAAAACAGCAATAACTAAGAAGAAGAGTGAAAGGTTTGCTGGAAATACAAAACAAACTGGAGGGAAAAATACCCTCCTTTGTATACAAGAAGAGAAAGAGCTCAGTCAGTCCAGTGAGGACTGAGCAGATCCAGAGATAAAACCAGGTAAAAAGCTCATTCAGTGTTTTCTACCAATCTATTCCTTGGTTAAAAAAAAATATTCTGACAAGTAGGAAACAGCAGCTGTGTGTAGCATGAAATGCGACTAGCAGGCCCCATCTCTGATTTTGAGATTTTTTTATCTTTTTCTTTCCTGAGAATGCTCCCAAGAAACCTGGGAATTACCAAGTTTTGAATGTACCCATTTAAGATGACCATAATAAAAATTGATAGAGATTTTCTACAGGTAGTCAGAATAATAGAATAATGGAAGAGATCTTGGAGGTCTTGTAGTCCAACCACCTACTCAAGCAGGAGACCCTATACCAGGGGTCTTCAAACATGACAGCTTTAAGACTTGTGGACTTCAACTCCCAGAATTCCTCCTCCAGTCATGTTAGCTCAGGAATTCTGGGAGCTGAAGTCCACAAATTCTAAACTTGCCAAGTTTGAAGACCCTTGCCCTATACCATTCCAGACAAGTGGCTGTCCAGTCTCTTCTTAAAAGCCTCCAGTGATGAAATATGCACAATTTCTGAAGGCAAGGCTGGTTAATTGTTCTCACTGTCAGGAAGTTTCTCCTTCGCGTAGTTCTAGGTTGCTTCTCTTAACTGTGGTTGTAAATCCTTAACTAATTAAACCCCAAATTTCTGTTCTGTAAATGAGACAGTGGTTTACAGTGGTGGGGTTCCACATTTTTCCCTACCAGTTCTATAAGACCATCTTTCGCATGTGCGCGCAGCACTCAAAAACCGCCCTCTGTTAGTGCTAGTGAGGTAAGCTGTTTTTTAACTTAGCTGAGGCGCAGCAATCCGCTCTGCCGCGTGAATCAGCTGAGCTAAAAACCAAGAGAATATAGGACAGGAAAGGGTGGGGACGGGTGGGCGGGGCCAGCCAGAGGTGGTATTTGCCAGTTCTCCAAACCACTCAAAATTTCTGCTACTGGTATGCCAGAACTGGTCCGAACCGACTGGATGCCACCTTTGCTTGTTAAGTGAATTGTGCCCCATTTTATAATCTTTCATGCCACAGTTGTTAAGTGAATCACTGCAGTTGTTAAGTCAGTAGAACATAGAACATCAGAATGTAACACATCAGTTTCACAGTTGTTAAGTGAATCTGGCTTCACTTAGAAGGTTACACAAGGTTAGGGGTGTCAAACTGGTGGCCCATGGGCCAGATGAGTCACATCCAGGCCATGCCCACCCCAGCTCCATGAAGGTCATGTAATGGCAGTGTGACGTGGGAGTTTGACACCCGTGCACAAGGTGATCACATGATCCTGGGACACTGCAACTGTCATAAGTATGAGCCAGTTGCCAAATATCTGAATTTTGATCATATGACCATGGGGCTGCTGTAACGGTCATAAGTGTGAAAAACAGTCATGGGTCACTTTTCTCAGTGCCGTTATAACATAAAGCAGTCATTAAATGAACCATTGTAAGTCAAGGACTATCTGTAGTCTATTTTCAAATCCATATTTGTATATCCCTCAAGTTCTAATGAATTATCAATAGATTTTCTCTCTGCAAATATGAAATTTATAAAGCACCATTCCAAAGAAAATATTTCAGATTCCTTGTAAATATCGGAATCTGTCTCCATAAATGTGATCCATTTACTCATCAATTAATGTTATGTTTTTCATAGCACTGTGCTCCTATTAATTTCCAAACATCTGCTATACTGTTGTAATGATTCACTGCTATTTTGTTATTCCCAAAGTTCTGGTGTAAAAAAAAAGAAGAAGAGGGGACTGAAAGAAAGGACATTATGAATAATAGAAAAAAGGTTATTTTCAATAAATGATAGACTGGGACAACCTGAGCAATTATGTTTTCTGTCTAACCATTTACAGAGTCACACCGCTGCCATTGATGTTACGGTGAAGGATTTCTGGTTCTCCCAGGAAGGACCATCTCTTTCTTTCTCTCTCTTTCACCCAATGGGGTTGACAGCACAACATGGAGAAGGCCATCCCAAACCAGAAGGAGATCAAAGGGAAGAGCCTCCTACTGTCAAGGAGAAGATCTCAGAAGAATCTTTGCAGAGGGACAGGTCAATGGAGTTCTCCACCTGGCAAGTGTTAACATTTTATTTTCTCTTTGTTGGTTTCCTAAAAATTGTTTTGTTTTCCAGGGAACCAAAGGGTTCTGGATAGAAAGAAAGTAAAACACTCCCATTTCATTCATTTGGTCACACTTCTGTTCTTCTGTGATCTTGGCAGAAGAACAGAAAGGCATGCTGTTAGGGTGTTGAGATTTAAGAGCTGACCAGCTGCTGTAAGACTGATGCAATGTAAGACTGATGCAATAAGGATGAATCAGCATGGGTATTGCCATTTTAAGACAAAGGATGGGTCCACAGAAGCTTTACCATTTTAAGAGGTGTTTATGTAAGGCAGCCATTAGAGGGCATATTTCTCTCTGCCTTCTGTCCGGTCTCCATTGTAGAATTCTCCATGCAGAGTTAAGAAGACTGATTACTTATCAGGTATTTGCCTACCATGTATATTCATGTATATAACTATCTTGTAGATAAACCACTGTTAAATGTCTAAGCTTCTGTGTGCAATGTTTTGCTCCTGGGTTGTCTCACAATAGTAGTCACACTGCAAATGCTCTGAGACATGCAAATGTATGGTAGTTCTCCAAAACCTTTCAAACCATGTCTCCTGTGTATCCACATGCATGGCATGGATGTTGATGTGGAATATCTTGGGTGGCTTTAAAGCAAGATTGGGGTCAACCTTGAAGCTGACCTGACCAAAGTCATCTTGGAGCTTCAGTGTTGCCACATTGGAGCTGAAGGATAGGGAGGGAGAAATAGAGATAGCTGGGGTTTTGTAGCCAAAATAAAATACTTTTTCTTGGGAACCAAGAATATTCTCACACCTGGTCAGGGGAAGGAGGAGTAAGGTCACCAGGCAACTAGGCAGTGCCCTGATTGGACCATGTGGCTTATTGTTTGAGGTTGAGGGAAACCTTTTACTTTTAATTAGGTGAAAACCATGGGAACTTCCGGAGTCAGTTTTCACCAGATCTGTGCCAATATGATATATCCAACAAAGCTATTCTTTGAGGAATCTACCTGCCTTGGAGTTTTGCTTTCTATGGGTCTATTATTTGAAACCCTAACAATTGGATAAATTAATAGAGAAAGGTCTACACAGCTATTGTAGTTGTGAGAATGATATTTCTTGATTTGGGACCATGTGGCTTCAAATCTTAGTTTCAGGAGATCAAGTTTCTCTTGCTCCTAGATCAGGGGTCCCCAAACTTGGCAACTTTAAGACTTGTGGACTTCAACACCCAGAATTCTTCAGCCAGCATGGAAGTTGAAGTCCACAAGTCTTAAAGTTGCCAAGTTTTGGGACCTCTGTCCTAGATGCAGGTAGTAATTTCTCTTGCTCCTAGATGCATCTAGTTGTCCATTACAGCAAATGAAACATTGGACTAAGAATATGCCATAACTTGATCCAGCAGAGTATTCTCATGTTCTTAGTCCTTTTAAAAATTTCTCTTTATTTGCAAATATTTTAGGGTCTCCTTTAACATAATAATGACTTTGCAATAGTGGTGAATATCTGTAGCTCAGGTGTAGGATGAGGGTGAAAGTTCGTTCTCTGGCTTGTGGGTTGGTTTCCAAACATTTCATTACCAGGCTAGGTAACATCCACAGAGGAGTTTATGGGATATCAGTATCATCTGCTGAAGATGCTACCTAGTCTGGTAAATGAAACGTTGGGAAACCAACTCACAAGCTCAAAGAACAAACCTTCATCCTCATAACAATGACTACAATTTGGAAAATGCACAAATGTTTGTTGGGTCACAATTGTCACACAGAGTCTTTATCTTCATAAACAGCAGCCCTTCCCTTTTGTACAGATATGTATACAGGTAGTCCTTGTCTTATAACAGTTCACTTAGTGATCATTCGAAGTTACAACGGCACTGAAAAAAAGTGACATGACTATTTTTCACACTTAAGATCGTTGCAGCATCCCCATGGTCACATGATCAAAATTCAGATGTTGGGCAATTGACTCATATCTATGATGGTTGCGATTGTCCCGCGACCATGTTTTGCAAACTTCAGTCAATGGGGAAGCCAGGTTAACAGCTATGTTACTGCAGTGGTTCATTTATTAACCATTGCAGGGACGCCCATAAAATGGGGCAAAACTCACTTGACAAATGTCTCACTTAATAACAGAAATGTTGGGCTCAGTTGTTGTTGTAAGTAAGTCAAGGACTACCTGTACTTGCAATTAGGTCAGATATTAATATGTGTGACTTTTTAATATGTTCATTTGAATCACAGAGTTGAAAGATGTTATTTAGGCAATCAAGTCCTTGAACATACATAGCAAAGGTGAGATCATGCCTCTCTGGGTTATTAACTGCACTGTCAAGTTGTTCTTATAACCAGGAAGTCTTTTGTAAACATTCAGTAGGAACTGGACTTCCTATAACTTAACATCATTACTCCATTTCCTATACCCTTAGATTAAGGAGAGCAGATCTTGATCTTCTATCTGACATCCTTCAGAAGTACTATCCCTCCATCTCATCATCTGTTCTCAAGGCTAAACATACCAAGTTCTCATCAGACTTATATTTCTGTTCCCTAATTGTCCTTGCTGCCCTTCTCAGAAGGTCCTTTGTTCAATTTCATTGAATAGGAGACGAGTCCTAAGATACCAACTTGGACGGATTCATCTTTTTTTTTTTCCTCCTGGCATGAGAATAGAGATAGCTGTCTGTGTTGGGTGATTCATGCATTGCTAATCTCAGGATTGGATTACTGCGGGCGATGGGGGGGGGGAATTCATCGGGGATTTGTCAGAATGCTAACTGGAAAACAAGCTTTGTTGTGGGGATGAAACCCATGGGATCTCCATGTAAGCCCTCTTGAGCTCCTGCATGAAAGAAAGTAGATGAATCAAATTAAGAAATTGAACTTGGATAGTAGACCCAAGAGAATGAGCAGGAATTACGAATAAAGTTTCTTTGTGACTTTTGAGTGGGGGCCTGCCTATCTCTGTAGTTTCTGCCCATTCTGAGAGATCAAACAGAGTGGGTATACTCCAGGTCCCTTTAATTAATGTCATCTATTGGGTCCAAGGAAGTAGGTCTTCTCTGTTATGAAATTTGCCCTGGGGAACCGCATCGACTCGAAGAGATTCCACCCTGATCATGTTCAAAAGGTTGTTGAAAACCTGGCTGTTCCTTCTATCTTTGGGATAGGGTGGGGCCACCCCTTGAAATTGTATTTAACTAAGTATGTTTTCTTTCGGCCAAACATGATTTTTGTTCCTAGGGTTTCACTTTTTTTCTGGCTTTTAATGTTGTAAACAGCCTAATCTTGTGGAATTAGATGACTTCAAAATTGGACATATGGATGGATCTAGGTTAACATAGCATGATAGGTATGGCTACAATGGGCACATTGAAGTTGGATATATCATGGTCAATTCAGCCATTATCTTAACTGACTGTCTGAACCAGGCCATCATGTTAAGGCAAAAAATAATAGCCTATTATATGAGCTCTCCAACTATGTTTAAGTAACCTCAATTGGCTTTGTTTATCTATTTACTAACTTTATTATACCTGTTTTATAAAACTATGACCTCAGTTAGACAATGAGTAGGAGTCACAAAGTGATTTAATATTACAAATCTTGATCAGTGGTGTGATTCAACCAGTGTAACAACTGGTTCAGTGACTGTGCGCCCAGCATTTAGAAAAGACCAATTTTAGCTATAATACTTACCTTCTGCTGTAGCCCCGGTGAGTAAAACAGCTGATGCATGGCAAACCACTCAGAGGTGTGCATCAGCTGTCCTCAAAAACAAGGAAATAAAGCACAGGAAAACGGCAAGGGCAGGTGGGTGGGGCCAAATGATCACTAGAACTACCAGTTTGCCCGAACCAGTCTGACCTGGAAGAATCCCACCCTTGGTTTTGATAAATTAAAAAAAAAACATAATAGTGAAATCAAAACCAGAGATACTAAGAAAATTAAAAACAGGAATGCAAATAACTTAAACCAACAATTAAAAACCTATGGGAAAAGGTATGACTTTGGGCTGCTTTTAAAAATCAACAATGATTTAGGCCTTTTAACTTTATCAAGCATTCCAGAACTGGACACAATATGGAAGGCATATTTTCAAATTGCCCTGCCTAAGTGAATATGCAGTAACTGTAGATAATCCTCAGTGGCAACTAAAAAGTCCAAAGAAGTATTGACACTCAGTTAAGGTCAGTGGGCAGAGACACGAGGATCTGGTAGAAAAAGGTGTTTTCTCAAGAACCCTGTACATAAATTCCACTTTATATTTCCCCAGGAAACAAAATTGTAAGCAAATGTAATGCTTTTAGCTTCAGTGGACATGGTCTCCTTGAGCTCTTCCAAAGACCATCTTGACTGCTGATTACCACTCCAGCTGGTTTCTGTATAAGGCTTAAAAGCAGCCCCATATGTCAAATGTAAGTACTGGAATATTGCTGCTCCCACATTGTTGTAAAGCCTTTTAGGGAAGGATGGGTTGTTACATCAACCAAAGATAATTGTCTCAGTTAGGGAAGAACCTGTCAATCTGAAAGATCTTGTAGTACCCAAAAGTTCAATATCTCTTTCTGAGATAATATTATCCCGTTCAAAAGAGAAAGATCTAACTCCTCTCTGAAATTGTAACCCTTCATAATATGCATCTCCCTCTTGTCTGGATTAAGTTTCAATTTATTATTAGCCTAATATCAATTCTAGGTGGGCATTCAAAAGAGCAATATCATTGTCCTGAAAACCAAAGGTGCTTTTTAAAAGGCAACTGGACTTTCTTTGTTTTTCGCTTCTCATCCAAGAAGTTTCTTCAGCACCTTTGGGACAATCATGACCTGGATGACTGAGAATCTCCATAGACATTGTCCTGATAATGTTGCAGAGTAGATGCCTTCAGCACACTGATAGTATCCAATTCCAGGTCTCCTGGTGATCTCCATTATGTTTCCCATAAATGTTGGAAAACAATGAAGACAGAATTGGGCCCTGAAGGACAACATTTTTGAGCAG